ATGATTGCCACCAGAACAACTTTTTGGTTCTTCAATTTGGCCTAAAGATACTGGACAGAACATTTGGATGAAAATGATATTGAAAGTAGGCATGCATGTACCTGAATGCAGCCGAAGATGTAAGACTGCAGAGAAGTGACGGCCGTGTATAACCATGTCAGCTATTATTGCAAGGGGTATTGTCAAACATACCTAGAGTTGCAACTAATGGATTTGTCCAAACAACAGAAAGGGTCCTGCATTTTTTTTTAAAGTAAAAAAATAAAATGAAAATTCTAAGTCTCAATCTTATAATATGTGGATGCAACCTGAACTTGAAAATAATAATAATAAATAAATAATTTTATAAAAAAATAAAAAATGTTAAAAAAACAAAAAAAAAAATTATCCTAAAAAAAAAAACAAAAGTGTGCCAGTTCATTTGAAGCCTTAACGACCTCTCCTCGGTTGGATCTGTCTGCAAACTAAAGATTCATTTCATGTTCCATATCAAGCTCAATAACAAAAATTGTACCCTTGAACTAGTCCAAATTGAAAAGAAAGCAAAAAGGAACAAAACAGAAAATTGTTAGCTTGAAGACAACCATGGATGATAATCCATCCACTAATAGTATATTTGGGTTGACGGGAATGGAGGGGAGGGGAATAAAGCCGTTTGCTTTATTTTTTCTTTTAATTGATTAACTTATCCAAATGAGAAGAGGTGAGGGAAGGGGAATGGAGGGATACAGTTCCCCTCCCCTCCATTCCCCTTCACCCAAACATATGGTAAGTTGTATGGAAATACATTCAACCTATATGTCATCCCACATAATGAAAACTATGATTTGTAAGATATAGGAGAATCAATGGCATGTTCTTTAGACTGACACACTTCAAGCAACCAAAAATAGGTTGCAAGTCTAATCTGCTTCTGTGAGTTGGTGATTAAGATGAAAAGCTGCCTCACTACAGAGGAATGCCTCCACCCAAATACTCGACTTCCTGAATTGGACAAAGAAATCATACTGTTAGTGAAAAGTTCCACTGATTGCTTTGAAATTCCATAAAGAATACAGAGTCACAGATCTTATTTGGTAAATAACATTGACTCTGTATAGCCAAAATAATAATAATAATAATAATAATAATAATAATAATATGGATTCTGAGAATCACTCATGATTAATTTCTGCCCCCCTAGAAAGATATCAACAATGGAATGAACAAAAGACAAAGGAACATAGAAGTTTCCTGTGTACCAAACCTCTATTAGTAAGCCAAATTCAAAAGTTATTCCTATGATGATTGTCTTTCATATCAGGAAGCCATCTTATTTTGAATAGAAAGAAAATGTTTGCCCTTACCACCTCCACCCTCTAACACCTAAAGATCTTATTTCCAAGGGAAATTAAAATATCAGTTACAAAAGAAGCAAGAAGAAGAAATGACAAACCTGGGCAGGGGGTAATGATGAAACCCAGTCTGATGCATGTCTCAGAAGAAGCCCCAATTTGTTAAGCTGCCAAAGTTGAATTAAGTATGAAAAATTGAAAACACTGGAGGCAGCAAAGTTTACTCAATAAATCTTCTTTCCTTTTCTTTATCCTCCCTTCTAGTAATATCCATTTTGAGAGACAGCCTATTTTAAAAATAGTAGGTAAATATATCTCACCTTCCAAACACCAAGAGCTAGACCCCCCAAATTAAGGGCAACAAAGAGCAGCTTGGGACCAAGGAGATCTACTCCACTGTCTTTATAAGGTTCAAAACCTGCAAAATACCAAAGTCAAGTTTGGATAAATGAACGGAGCATATACAAATATCATGCCGGTGCCAAATATCACTTGCAAAATTAGATCTAGAAATTGATGCTATGTGAAGCTCACAATTAGTAACTTATATAACCTGAGATGTGGAAGAAAGAAACAATAACAGACTTAATTATACTGAACAAAGAAATAATCATCTATTGTGTCCTGCTTACCCTATCCAGCCCCTTGCAAAGCACTTATAGGCTGCCAAAGAGCTGAAAATGTGTTGCCAATGCTAAAGAGATGCACTGTACTGCCAGCCATCCACATCATGAAGCCCATCATCATCAAATTCTTTAAAGGCCCTTGTGCCACTTCCCAAGCTTTCTGTCCAAACAAAAAAGGGAACAAACATTTTCAGTAGCCTACTTTTCATTGGCTAAGATATTTTACTTCCAGCATATACTATCTCCACATCAAATGTTACTTTCCCTTCAAAACAAAACCAAGATATGTCTACCTTTCTTGCCAACTCCAAATCAATTTACATTAAGACACTTTCAGTTTGATAACCAAACCCTGGCTTACAGTTGGAAAATATAAGTTGCTGAAATTTAGTTCTTGATGTCCTGCTGTCCCACCAGTTAACATCTATCGTCAGATTAAGAATTTATCTCCTACTCCTACAGACTAGAAGCACAATGGTGTATAGGAATTAAACTTTTCAACTCCCTTAAGATCTAAATTGAACAACTTTTAAGCTTTTCTAAGCACAACCCACATATTCCTGTCAAACAAATGAACTAATTCAGCGAGATTATCAGCAGCAACTGATTCCAAACTTAACCCTGATACAAGTGCATCAAATAAAGAGAAGACTAAAATTACCTGAGCTTTCCA